TGTTATTTTATGAACCTATGCCCACACATACACATACATGCTCTGGCAGCATAGTGGTAAGGACTTGTGCTGGCAACCCAAATGCACGTGGTTCAAATCCACCAATTGCTATAAGGGAGAATGATAAGTAGCCTCCTCATGTGCAAGTTAGAGTCTCAAAAAACCTGAAGGGTCAGTTATGAGCCAATTCTGATTGGATGGCACACAACTAGATATATATAAGGAAGAACAGCTTATATAAATAGCATTCAAATTCATACCCCAAGTTGGTAATTTTAGAATTACTAATCACATAGATGAAGAAATTGAAGGTTTCTACCAAGTTCTAAAGTCTGAATTAGTTTAAACATGCAATGACAATGTGCTGATAATTACAAGTGATTGGAATGTGGAAGTTAGCAACAAAGAATGAGTGGTATTTGGAAAATAAGGCTTTGGTGATAAAAATCACATGATGGAATTTTGAAAGACCGAGGACATATTCCATTGCAAATACTTTTCCTGACAACATAAACTAAGTGTACACATGGACTTCACCAGATGAAACACACAGGAATCAATTCCATTACATCTGTGGAAAGAAATGACGAAGATGCTCAATATCATCAGTGCAAGGCCAAGGACTGACTGCAGAACAGACTGCCAAGTGCAAATTAAAGCTAAATAAAATGAAAACAAGCCTTTGAGAACCAATGTATGACTTTGAACATACCCCATCGTAATTTAAAAACCATCTAAAGTGATCTGATTTTTAACACTGCTGATCAAAGATTGGAGCAATTAATGAGATGACATCAAGGACATCATCCATGAAGAAAGCAGAAGGTCATGAAAAAGACAGGAAAGAAAGAAAGGAGGGAAGGAAGGAGGAAGGAGGGAGGAAGGAAGGAAGGAAGGAAGGGAGGGAGGGAGGGAGGTAAATCCAAAATGGAGGCCAGAAGAGACTCTAGAACTTGTTCTTGAATATAGAGCAGCTAAAGTGAAAGGAAAAACTGATGATGGGAGAGAGCTGAATGAAAAGTTTGATGGCCACTTCAAGAAGATAAAGAGAAGTTCTATAATAAAATATGCAAAGATCTGGAGTTAGAAAACCAAAAGGAAGAAAACCCTTGATATATAACCCTTGTAATTACTGAAGGGAAAATGCCAAGCCTTATGTGAAATATTTAAGGATCATATGGGTAAAAGCATATGTTGGTTTAAATGCAGCAACTCTTCTGGGAGAGAAAGAGTTGAGCAATCTCCAGCTGTGGGATTTACAGCCTCAAAATCCTACTGGAGGGTCAGCTATGGATTGGACCTGGCTGGACAGCAATGAAAACTCTTTCATTAAAAATTCGTTCATGTGAAGGGAAGGGAAAAAAGGGAGGAGGAAAGAGAGAGATGGAAAAATATGAAAGGTACGGGAAAGAAGAGTACAGAGTTGCTGAACCAAAAGAAATGGTCAACATTCAGTCATGTCAGGAGGCAGCATATGATCAAGAGATGATGGTACTAAATGAAGTCCAAGTTGCATGGAAGGCATTGGCAAAAAAAAAAAGATTCCAGGAATTTATGGAGTATCAATTGAAAGACTTAATAGATGCAATGAGATCACTTACCTATATCAGGTAATTTGTAAAACAGGACCAAAAGACCAGAAATGTGCCCATTTCAAAGAAAGGAGATCTAAGAGAATGCAGAAATTATTGAATAATCTCATTAACATCACACACAAGTATGTTATTCTTGAAGAGAATTTAAAAAAATGGCTATAACACTTCATTAACAGAGAAATTCAAGATGGATTCAGAAGAAGACAGGGAAGGAGGAGTACCATTGCTGATATCAGATGGATCTTGGATGAAAGCAGAGAATACAAGAAAGATCTTTACCTAAGCTTTATTGGCTATGCAAAGACCTTTACCCGTGAGAACCTTAGTAAATTATGAATAACATTGTGAAAAATGAGAATTCCATAACATTTAATTGTGTTCGTACTGTATATAGACAGCCGTTTAAACACAACAGGGAATACTGTGTGGCTTAAGATCAGGACATGTGGGTGTCAGAGTTACAGTCTTTCATTATACTTAATCTGCATGCTGAGCAAATAATCTAAGAAGTTGGACTACATGAAGAAGAATATTGAATCAGGATTGGAGGGAGACTAATCAACAGCCTTTGATACTTTGAGAACACAACCTTGGTTTCAGAAATTGAAGAGGCCTTGAAGCACTCATTGATGAAGATTAAAGACTGTCCACTTCAGTATGGACTGTACATCAACATGATGACAATAGTCCTCACAAGTGGACTAATAAACAACACCATGCTAGACAGAGCAAAGATTGAGCTTGCCAAGAATTTCATTTTACTTGGCTACATACAATCAACACTGATGGAGGCGGCAGTGGAAAAGGTCAGAGCACATGTTGCACTAGAAAAATCTTTTACAAACACCTCTTTAAAAACATTTAAAGTAAATGCTTCACTTTTTAGAACTGAGATGCACCTAAGTTATGAGATTTTCAATCACTTCAAATATGCAGCCCAATAAAAGAGGAAACCTGAAGAAATAATGCCTCTGAATGATGATATTGGCATTGGCAAAGACTGTTAAATATAAGATTGACTCCTAGGACAATGATGAACTAATTGGTTTTAAAAGAAGTACAGCTGGTATATTTCTTAGAAGTGGCTCATGTATGTTGAACATAATCTTATGAGGAGCCGTTCCCTAGAAAAGGGCATCATGCTTAGTCTAGTGGAAGGCCATGAAAATGAGGAAGACTTTCAGGGCAATGGATTGATACAGTGGCTGCAGCAATGGTCTTAAAGTAGCAATGATTGTGAGGAAGATATAGGACAGGGCTGTGCTTCATTTTGTTGTTCATTGGGTTGCTATGAGTCATAACTGACTCAATTGGACCTAATAACAGTAGAGCTAAAAACCCTGGTGACACAGTGACTAAAATGCCCAGCTAGCTGACTGGAAGTCAGGAAATCAAGAGACAGATTGCTTTAGGAAAATCTGCTGTCAGAGACCTCTCCAGAGTGCTAAAGAACAACAATGTCAGTCTAGAGACGAAGGTGCCCTTGATTCAGGCCATGATCTTCTTAGTTACTTGGTACCCATCAGAGAGCTGGACAATAACTAAGGGTGACAGAAGAATTCATGCCTTTGAATTGTGGTGCTGGAGAAAAGTATTAAACATACCATGGACTGCCAAGAAAACAAACAGGTCTATCTTGGAGAGGTGAAACCAAGTTGCTTCTTAGAGGCAAGGATTTTGATGTTCTTTCTCATATACTTTAGGCATGTTGCCAGGAGAGACCAGTCTCTTGAGGAAGACATTATGCTTGGAAGGGTGGAAGGACAGTGCAGAAGACCCAGGATGAGATGAGTTGACACAATGACTGGGGTAATGGAGTAGGGGTGTCAGAGTCAGTGAGACTAACTCAGGACCGAGCAGAATTCAGAACTATTATTGTGCATAGGATCCCTATGAGTTCTAGGAGAATTGGCAACACTTAACAACAACAGCTAAAAAATAGGTGGTTAGAAACTACATGCTGTTCCATAGCAGAAAGATATGATATTCTGCTTGTATATATTGTAATTAATGTTACAGAACAAAATATGGATGGATGATTGACTGAGGGGGAAAAATACCCAATGTACTTTGTAAACGTTCATTCAAGTCATTAAAAAAAAAGTCACAGCCTTGGCAACTCTATGGAACAGTTCTACTCCATCCTACAAAGTGACTGTGGAATTGACTGAGCAGCAGTGGCTTTGGCTTTGGTTTATGTTTAGTGAATACAGGACTCTTGTGACCCTTGGGTTTCATTTACACAATGGTCACTGTACAACCCGTGATGTGGATGGTGTTTTATATGATGACCCTATGACTTGGAGGCCAACTAAAGAGCAACATGCTGAGTGCTTTCATGCTTATTTCACTTAATCCCCACAGCCACCCTCTCTGACAAAGGTCCTGTTAGCAATTACAATTTACAGATGAGGAAACGGAGGGGTAAAAATGGCAGATGACTGAGCTGAGATTTGAACTGAGGTCATAGGCTGAGCTTTCACTCATTGCTCCCCTCTATGCCCCACAATGTGATATTTAATGTTAACTAAGGACATCGGTTGCCTCATTTCCACCATTCAGATTGAGACATTCAATTACCAATCCTTTCTGTATATTGCATTCTTTCTTTCTCTGGCATATGCTGTTAAAGCTCCATTTGCAGCAATATTTTAGTTTAATTATAGGTACTTTAAAAGCTCTTGGGTTTCCATATAGTACTTTGAATGCAGTGTGATGCTTTTAAAAGAGAGTAAATCAACCACACAGTGAGCCGGACATCACTCTTTCCTGCATGGTTGAGCTTCAGGACCATGACAGGAACTCACTAATGAAACAGACAGAAAAAGAGCCTCCTTAGAGATTGAAGAGGGTCATATATTCGGTGTAATTGTTATTTTGCTAGTTAACTTCAGCTTCATTTGTGCACCTGCTACATGGGTTTAATTATGTTCAATTATCCCAAGTTTTATAAATTACATTGTCTTTTATTTTCTCTTACTGTCCTAAGTATTTTGTCAAATAGTAGGTGTGTGGTCTGTTCTTTAAGCAATCCAATGCAATTCTTTGAGGTGAATCTCCCTTCATAAAATTAAGGACTATACTTCAATTAAGGAATTTTACTTCTAGCATCTTTTAAAGGAAACGCAAACTTATCACCATCAATTTGGAACCGACTCATAGCAAGCCCTCCATTGGGTTTTGGAGGCTGTGAATTGCCTGAGAGAAGACTGTATCACCAGCCACTGGTGATTTGAACCACCAGAGAGGTGGTCTTTAGATAAGCAGTGCCGACTCCTTATAGCTTAGGTTATAAGAGTTTCCCTTTTAAAGAAAAAGAAAATTTACTGTTATCTTCAACAGTCCTGAAGTGCTTTATAGAAGGAGTAAGTATAAAAACCAGATATCTTTTTCTATTTCCTTTAGGAATTACAACATATTGTTGGATCACAACACATCAAAGCAGAGAAAGGTAAGTGTGAATTTGTGAGCATTTGAAATTCCACAAGGTCACCGCTGCTTGCTTGCTCTGTTAACCTGGCTTCTGTCTTCCTCAGCTATGGTGGAAAGCTCATGGCTGGACCTGGCCAAGAGGGGAAAGCCTGACATGCCGCCTTTTGCTCACCTCACTATTAATGCCACTGACATACCATCAGGTAAGTTTCATTTGCATGGACCTTGAAAAATTTGTCAAGAGTTATTTATCACATCATTTGAATATGCAAATTCCAGCTTGTCAAATGGTAACTTTATGGATATGAATGAACATAAAGCCAATTTTCATGCGGTGGAGATCAATAATACTGGTGCTCTCCTTTTGCTGTCTTTTCTTACACCAGTCCTCCACTCGGCATCCTTTCTGGAACAAATCACAGAGCATGTAGACATTCTAACCACTGGTTTTACTATAGGAAAAAGACATAGATAAAGGTCATCATAAGGAGAAGAGCCTGGGAGTGTTCCCAACATGGAGCTGATGTGTCTCTGAGAGAACCCCTTTCTCTCCTTTCATCATCCAGGAAGCTCTCTGAACCATCACTTATCTATTGGATTCTTCAGTTTCTGCATTCAGAGTTTCAGGCTATTAGCGGCCAGTCCTTCATGCCTGGCAAATCTAGTTGATAGAACCCTACCATGTGAGTCTTCTGTGAGATTCCAGACTTGGGCATCCCAATACTCCAAGGTTATGTCAAAGACCACCTTATTTTGGGTAAAGCTAAGTCCTTTGCCCCAATTATCTGTTGCAAATTTTTAAGAGTCATTAATTTCCAGTTCAAAAGAAACTAGATGCAATTAATGGTGAAGGGAGAGGAAGGTGTCTTCGCAGACACAGAGCTCCATATTGGGGACCCCCACAGACCTTGCCCAGGCCAGGTACATCAAATGCAATTGCAACTGATGAGCCATAGTCAAGTGGAGATCCTGGAAACAATGATTCTTAATTGTCCCCACATGGAGGCCATGACTACAGTCATTTTCAGATCATCTGAGCTTTGTTCATGTTAAATGATTACTGGCTGGGTGTACATAATCAACACTTAAAAAAACAACAACAAAAACTCTACAAACAACTCAACTCATTGCAATGGACTCATACTTGATACTCCAGAGGGTTTTCAGAGGCTGTAAATTGCCTAGGAGGAGATTTCTCCCTGAAAGCCGCTGGTAGATTTGAACCATCTGCCTTTGAGTTGGTAACAGAACTCTCTACCCATTAAGTCCCCACTATGCCATAGGTCAGAGAGCTTCTGTGCATAAGAGTAAGAACAATTGTGCACTGCTTCATGCTAAAGCTGACACACTCTCACTGCTGACCTTGGAGTGAGTTCATCCAGTTAGTCATATACTCGACCATCTCTCCCAGAGTTCCAACTATCTCTTAGAGAGGCCTCAACCAAGTCATCTTTAAGATACTAGAGTTCTGAAAATGAAGCAACTTTCTTCTTTAGGAACTTGCCATTTTCTCTGGGCTGGAGCTTGCCTCTATGTCTGGAGGTCTAGTTATCTTTTGGGAAGAAGAAAATCAGGAGCTTAGTGTCCACATCCCTGACCTTAATTAATGTATTAGCTTGTTTGTATAGGAGACTTATGTTGTCAACAGCTTCATCTTGCTTGGATCCACAATTAACACCCTTGGTACCAGCAGTCAGGAAATAAGGAGATGCATTGCACTAGGAAAATCTGCAATTAGGGATCTCTCCAAATTACTGAGGAGTAATGATGTCAGTTTGAGGACTATGGTGCATCTGATTCAGACCATAGTCTTTCTGATCACTTGTTATGCTTCTGAGAGCTGGACAATGACTTAGGATGACAGAAGAACTGATACTTTTGAGCTGGAGTGTTGGAGAAGAGCACTGAGCACCACATGGACAGCTAAAAGAACAAGCAGATATGTCTTGGAGATATGCTCTTTGGAGGCAAGAATGATGAAGCTTCACCTCACATACTTTGGGCATGTTGCTAGGAGGGGTTATTCTTTGGAGAGGGACATGATACTGGGAAGGGTGGAAGCCTGGTGAAGGAGAGAAAGACCCTCACCCAGGTGGATTGACATGGTGACTGCTGCAATGGGTTTTGTTGTGTCAGGAAGTGTGAAGAAGGCACAGGACAGAACAGGGTTTGGGTCTTTTGTTCATAGGGTTACTATGAGTCCATACTCAACTCTATGGCACCTAACAAAAACAACAATTCCACTGCTTGGAATATACCCTGAGCAAATTAGAAATGAGACACAAATGGAGATTTTTACACCAATGTTCATAGCAGTGTTATTTACCATTGCAAGAACATGGAATCAGTCCAGATGTCCAACCACAATTGAATAGATTGAAAAATTGTGGTACATTCATTCTCGAGAGTACTAAAGAACAATGATGTCAGTTTGAAGATTGAAGTGCCCCTGGTTCAAGCCATAGGCTTCTCAGTTGCTTGCTATGTATTTGAAAGATGGACAATGACTAAGGATGACCAAAGATGCCTTGGAGCTGTGGTGTTGGAGATGAGTACTGAATATTCCATGGGCTATCAAGAGAATAAAAAAGTCTGTCTTGGAGAAAATAAAAAAGAGTGCTTCTTTAAAGCAAGGATGGTGAAACTTTGTCTCACATACTTTGGACATGTTGTTAGGAGAGGCCAGTCCTTGGAGAGGGACATCATGCTTGGAAAGGTGGAGGGTGAGCTTAAGAGAAAAAGACCTTCAACAAGATGGGTTGACAAAGCAACAGTAGCAAAGGGCTGAGGTGTGTCTGAGGTGGTGAGGATGTCACAGAATAGAGCAGGTTTCAGATTCATGGTTCATAGGGTTGCTATGAGTTATAGACAATTTGATGGCACGTAACAACAATAGTAACCATACTATCAGCGATGCTCTGGTGATGTAGATTGTAGGAAGTTATGCTGCTAACCCAAAGCTGGTGCTTCCCTGGTGGTTTGAATCCACAATTGACTCCTTGGAACGAAGACAATCTCCTCCCATACAATTTACAAGGTCCGAAAATCTGCTGGAAGATCGACTCTGAGCTCATTCTGACTACACAGTAGCAATGGTGATGAGACCATCGCAGTGACACAAAATATTAAAATACCCATTGGTTTTGACTCACAGTGACTGTATTGCAGAGAATTGTTCCATGTGATTTTCTTGTCTATAATCTCTCTGGAAGTAAATCACCACTTTATTCTTCTGCGTCACCAGTGCCAACCTTTAGGCTAGCAGCTAATTGCAAACTACCTACACCATGAAGCCTTTGCAGTAACACTGGTAGAGATTACTCCTGACTGAAGACAGAGAACATGAGAAAATAGCTCTTTGCCTTTTAGAAAATTTTCCTGAGTTCTCCCACTCAAGATACTTGCTCCATAAACAATTTCATGTATGTGTTTGTGCACACACACATGCACCGAAGGTGGTGGTTGTTGCTGTGTAGTGTCAAGTTGGAGCTGACCCACAGCTGAACTTCTAGGGGTTTTACAGAGGCAGTTAATCTTTCTCCTGGGAAGCAGCTGGTGGATTTTAACTGTGTGCCTTCAGGATTACAGTGCAGCTTCTTATCACTAGGACACCAGAGCTTCCTGCACCTTATGGTGATGGTACTGGTGTTATCATGTGCCCTCGAGTCGACTCCAAGTCATAGCAAGCCTATGCACAACAGCTCTGAGCCAGCTTCATCATTCTGACACACCTACCCTCATTACCCCAGTCCCTGAGTCAATCCATCTCATGCTCTCTTCTGCTGTCCCTTCATCCTTCCAAGCATGATGCCCCTCTCCAAGGACTGGTCCCTCCTTGAACATGCATGGTATGATAGAACTACATAATTTTCTCTGAGTGGGTAACTATTTTGCATATGAGCAAAAGCAATCAAATGAATACTGATGCATCAGCTATGTGTGCTGTGAATGTACTCTACATTTATCTTTTCAGCCTCTCTTCAATGGCATATGATAAATATTGCATTAGAGTGTGTGCCAATGTCAGCTTGGCAACAACAAGCCTGTTACAGTTATAAAGCTCTCTCTACAGGCACCTCACATCAAATCATTGCCAAAACAAAGGCAAAACTCCTGGTTCTTTTTCGATGGTTATTGAGTTTGTGACTGAGTGAAATGAGTTAGTGTCCACTTTTATTTAAGAAAATAAGGTTTGTGCCTCTAGTTGGGCCAATAACCCCCTAAGTACATTTATCTCCCAGTTATGGCCAGTGTGAATACTTTAGAGGAAGAGAGCTTTAATCTGCATGTTCATTTGGGAGCTCTGTTTTATTACTTTATTTACTCACAAGAAATCAGAAGTTACCTCATATTGACAATTAGCCTGGGGGGATCCACAGCTTCCTGAGTCCACTGCAGTATTTGATGAGGTTAGAATATCTGGTTTCCCGAGTGACATTCTCAAGCTAAATATTTACTAAGGTCTGGTGACCTAATGGGTAAGGAGTTGCACTGTTAATTCAAGGACAGGTGGTTCGAATCCATGAGCTGCTTGCTATACAGGAGAAAGCAAGAAAATTTTCTCTCGTGATTTTTAGTCTCTGAAAACCTGCTGGAGGGTCAGGTATGACTCGACAGCAATGAGGTGGGGGGATTTTTGGTTTGTTTGGGTTTTTTTGGTTGTTCTTCAACAGTAATTCTTAACGAACTGTTAGGAGCTCCACTACAAGAGGTTGGCAGTTTGAATCCACTGGGAGGCACCTCAGGACACAACCTGGCCATCTGTTGCCAAAAAGTCACAGCCTTAAAAACCCAGTGGAGCAGTTTTGCTCAGCACACATAGAGCTGGCATGGGTTGGAACTGACAGAAACTAAGCATAACGACTTCGACACCACGTAGCACTCGTCACAATGGGGACGAGTGGGCTGTGATGAAAGGTGTTCAGCGTGTCTCTGACCCTCATGAGCTTTTCCACTCATTACACCTTTTCATGCTGAGGGAGTTGTGGTTCAGTGGTAGAAACTTCACCTTCTGTTGGAGGTTTGATTCCTGCCATTGCATGTCGTGTACAGCCACCATCCAGACAGCAGCCTATCTCTATGATGTTCTAGGGAGAAAATCCTGGTGCTCTACTTTCTGAAAATCAGGCCAGTGCAAACCCCATGTATCACAACTGTCTGATCCACGATGGATTATGGGAATGGCGCAGGACTGGGGAAGGTTTTGCTCCCTTGTGCCTGGCGTTGCCATGCATTGGGGGCTGACTTGAAAACAGCCAGCTGTAATTCTGTAAAGGGCTTAGCTGAAAGTACTGTGTATAATTAAGAGTATTTCTTTCCTTTTAGAAAATAGATTGTGAGATGTTATCCTGCTACCGGACTCATGATTGCTTTGCTCTGTTTTCTTCTAACCGATGGAGTTGGGAGGCTGTCCCCTGCACACAGGAGCTAACTTGAATGTAACTTCTCTCCCCAGGGTCCCACAGAGCAAGTCTGTCTTCTTGGTACCATGACCGAGGGTGGGCCAAGATCTCCAACATGACTTTCAGGAATGGGAAACTAATAGTCAACCAAGATGGCTTTTATTACCTGTATGCCAACATCTGCTTTCGACACCATGAGACCTCGGGGGACATCGCTGGGGAGTATCTGCAGCTCATGGTGTATGTCACAAAAACCAGCATGAAGATCTCAAGTTCTCACACACTGATGAAAGGAGGAAGCACCAAGTACTGGTCTGGGAAATCGGAGTTCCATTTCTATTCCATAAATATTGGAGGATTTTTCAGGTTACGGTCTGGTGAAGAAATAAGCATCCAGGTATCCAACCCTTCACTACTAGATCCAGATCAAGACTCAACTTACTTTGGGGCCTTTAAAGTTCTAGATATAGATTGAGCTCGATTTTGTGGAATGTTACAATGTATATCCTAGAATGTGTATAAACTTTAAAAAACAACAGTAAAACCAAAAACAAGCCAAGAAAGGTGTATATAAGTGTATGAGACTACTAAGAGGCATGACTTCAACGGTACAATAAAACTCTGTCCAGGTTCTTGACCTTGTAAAGAGCATATGTATATACAGCTCGTTTACAGAGGTATTTGACTCTGGGTGTGTTACAGTGTAAAGGCTTTCTTACACAATGGTTTTTTAATTTTGTAATAAATTCCTAGAATTAAACCAGGTTGGAGTGGTTATAGGAAAGGGAAAGGGACGATGTTAATTATCTTTAACTAGACCCAGTTAGGAGTCCTTGGGTAGGGCAAATGGTTAAGCGCTCAACTACTAACTGAAAGGTTGGTTGTTTGAATCTGCCCAAAGGGGTCTCAGGAGAGACAGGGCTGCAGTCTGCTTCTGAAATGTAACAATAAGCCTTGCAACTTTCTACTCCACACACATGGGGTTTTTCTCATGTGTTAAAATTAGTCAGGAAACAAACCACAGCCCCTGGTTCTGTGCTTCTCCACATATACAGTAGAGAGAGTGTCATCTTAATAGCAAAGGGACAAACATCTGAAGGGTTAAGTTCTTTTGAATTGTTACATCATGCTGGAACCTGCAAATATTTTTTTTTCTAACAAGGAGAGAAAAATATATGTATTTTTATATAATATCTAAAGTTATATTTCAGATGTAATGTTTTCTGTGCAAAGTATTGTAAATTATATTTGTGCTATAGTTTTTGGTTCGAACTATTTAAACTGTCTCGCTGACATATTTAATGTTTTAAATGTACAGACATATTTAACTGGTGCACTTTGTAAATCCTCCATGGAAAGCTTGCAGCTCTGGGGGGAAAATGTTGTTTGCGAATATCAAGTGTATTGTATTATATTTCTTCCTTTTTTTAACTTAATAGAGTCTTCAGACTTGTCAAGTCTGTGCAAAAAAATTAAGATGGATGCCTTGAATAATAAGCAGGATGGTGGCCACCAGGTGCCTTTCAAATTTAGAAGCTAATTGACTTTAGAAAGCTTACATTGCCAAAAAGGATACATAATGGGCTGCTGAAATCTGTCAAGAGTATTTATATAATTACTGAACAGGTGTGTTTTCTTCAAGTGCTAGAAACTGTAAATTTTGTGTTATTTTTAATGGAAATGTTATCAGTGGCTTATAAGAAAAAAAAAATCCCATTTTTTAACTTAGTGGATATTGTTTTATACTGTACAATAAAAGCATTGCCTTTGAATGTTAATTTTTTGATACAAGAATAAATTTCTCGGAAAACCTGCCCTGTGTTTTGGTTCTTCCCTTTTATGTCTGCCGAGTTCAGAGATCCTGCTTCTCCAATGTGCTGCTCTTCTTGCTGTCTCTTCACAGAGGTTACTGGGAGAAATGCACATTTAATTAAAATCAGGAACATACACAATTAAACGAACGAACCTTGGAATCAGAAAAAAGAAATTTGCAAAGGATTTGTATGCCCGGATGTTGCTAGATAGAAAACGAAGGACAGAGTATTCTTCTGGAACAAGAGGTCCTTACAAAGCGAACAGCGGGAGCAGGAGAGGAAAAGGTGCAACAATGAAGGAGTGAAAACCCAACTTTTCTGTAAATTTTTGGTAAAAAACACAAGTTTTTCTTTTGCTTTTCAAGGAGAGGAGCAAATGGGGGGGGGGGGGGAGGGGTTTGTGCGGGGAGAAGGGTGCAACAATGAATGAATGGAATCCCAAAATCTCTGTAGATGTTCACTGAAATGAAAAATAAACAACCTAAATTAAATTAAAAAAAAAAACAACAAAAAACCACAAGTTAAAAAAAGTTGGAAACTGAAGAACATAAAAAAGGGAGGAAAATGGAAAGGAGACTATTTCTCTCTCTGCCCTTGGGAATGAACCTTTGTGCTTGGAAATTTCTACAACCCACTGTGTTGGAGGAGTGAGCTCTGGTGGTGCAGGGGGTAAGGCTTTACACTGCCAATGCAAAGATGGTTCACATCTATCAGCCACTCCTTAGGAGAAAGATGAACACTCCCTTCTCACGCACTATCCAGCCTCCGGAAACCTGGAGGGTCAGCTCTGAGTCAGATTTCACTCAATGGCGAGGAGTTTGAGTTGATGATGGAGGAGGATTAACAGGGACTGGACATTTTTCCACACGGACATTTCCATGGAGGGAGCTGTCCCAGCCAGGCTGCCTACTTATGTGACTGGGATGAGGAAAAAAAACAGGTTGGGAAGGAGGAGGCTTGTCATTTGTGGATACATATTCCTTGACGCCTGTGATGGGAAAGAAAAAGAAAATAACCAATGCTAGAAAGAAGAGTTTTAAACAGAAGAGCTATTGTTTTAAAGTGATCGAAAATTCTGAAGAAGACAGATACAATAAAATGGGACTTAAGTGTTATGTATTCCAATTGCAGAGTCTTGGTTGAAAGAAAAATGAGAAATTTTCCTGATATAAAAGTTTGCTGAAGAGAGAGAGAAAATTTTGTAAGATTAACAGGCATGGGAATGGAGGGGGGGGGAATTAATAAATTGGTGAAGAGAAAGGCAATAGAAAATAAGGAGTTGATCAGACATGATAATTAATTAATTATACCAGACATTTGCAATTGATCTTCTAAAACAAAATGCCTATGAGAAATCATTATGATTTTTAAACTTTCACTAAAAATAATTTAAAAAATGGAAACATCCATTAGCTCCCTGACTCCTAAAACATGATTGTGTCATTTCTAGGGGACTAGCATTCACGGGCTTGTACTTTTTTAAAAAACTCCAACTGTGTATCAGGTGTGCTGGAGATATTTTTTGACACACCTCTTCAAAGTTCTAAAGGTCAAGGACGTCAGTTTAAAGACTGAGGTGCACCTGATTCAAACCATTTGTTTTCATTTGCTTCCTATGCATCTGAAAGTTGGACAATGAATAAGATTGACAGAAGGATTGTTGCTTTTGAATTATGGTGGTGTCAAAGAGTATTGACTATACCATGGACTTCCAAAAACCCAAATTTATCTAGAAAAAAAATGTGACCAGAATGCTTTTTCGAGGCAAGGATGGTGAAACTTCTCACTTATTTTGGGCATATTTTCAAGAGGAAATAGTCCTTAGAGCTATCATGCTGGGAAAGGTAGAAGTTTGGTTAAAGAATGGAAGACCCTCTGTATAAGAGGAACATATGATTAAATATTATTGGTTTGACTAGAGTCCAGAATAAGAGCTGCATATTGCAGTGTTGGGGGGGGGCTGTATAATAATGAAAGAATATATTTTTTTCCCAAAGAGAAAAGTGAACGGGGGGCGGGGGGGGGGGCCATGAAGAAAAATGTGCAACAATGAATGAATGGAAATCCAAGTTCTCTATAAACTTTTATTAAACTCTCAATCTAAAAAATCTTCCAGATAAGAAATTCAAAAGAATGTTATTTAAAAATATACTACAGATTTAGAAAAATGCAGAAAATAAAGTTGGTTGTGCTGATAAAGGAGAGCAAGAGAGAGGAGAAGGAGAAGGAGGAGAGGAGAGAGGGAGGGAGGGAGGGAGGGAGGGAAAAAGGAAGGGAGGGAGGGAGGGAAGAGAAGGGAAGGAAAAGAATGCTGTTAGAGTTCTCCCTGGAGGCAAAGATAGCAAAGCAGGAGAGGCTGTTCCTTAAAGACAGTTATTAGGCTTGGAAAGGTGGAGCTATGATGAAAAAGAGGAAGAGTCACAATGAGATGGATGATTAATAAAGTGAATGGAACAAAGGGCTCTAGTGTGTCAGAGATGTCAATGATGGCAAAGGATAGGTCAGGGTTAAGATCTGTTGTTCATAGGATCACTCACAGCACCTAACAACAATCTAAGCTCTCAAGGAATTCACAAACATGAATAAAGATTTTGGTCAAATGAGCTCATTCTTATGTGTTGTTGAACCACTTAAAACTTATAGTAATTTAGAGAGCTCTGGTGGCCCACTGTCAAGAAGCTGCATTGCAATCCTGAAGGTACATGGTTTGAATCCACCCAATGCTTCTCTGCAGAAGGAAGGGCAATCTCCTTCTATGCCAGTCAGATTGGATTTGACAGTACACAACAAAATTTTTTTAAAAAGTTAAAAAACTCATAGTAACTCTTAACTCAATGAAATGGATTAACACAATGACTCCCACAATAATAAGCTTGAGCATAACAGAGGGTGTGAGGATAGTTCAGGTTAGGACAAGTTTAATATCTCTTGTTAACAAGGTTGCTATGATCTGCAGACTAGAGACCACCTAACAACAATAGCAACAATTCTAGAGATTCCACCCCAGTGGGAAAGCCAGCCTATATTCTATTGTATAAGAATTCTCCAGGGGCAGAGAAGAGGCTTGTAACCCAATAGTGAGGCGCCCAGAAGCTCTGAACAGAACATTGGACTGGATCAGAGGGGAAAGTGGAGTGCAAGGTTCTGAAGTTGGATGTAGATATTCATATGCCCTTTCATTAACAACTGGTGACCCCCAAATAGGAGCCAAGAACTAAGGTCTAAAATGGAATGACTCCAAGTTCTAATGAGACACTATATAGTTGCAACAGCCAGTTTGGAAAACAGCAGATGGTCTGCAATACCAAGGAGAGCCTCTGATCACACAGCCAGACTGTAATGTGAATTTGATCCAACTTGATGCTCTGATATGTTAAGGCTTTCAGAGCTTTACTGGACTGAATCTAGGACTCAATGAAATATTGGTGTGCACTGACCTGAGCATTGGAGGTTACTATAGTACATGAGTGGATCAGGAGATCAGAAAAAGCTTCTTCTCTATTAAGGGCAGTGGTGGTTCAGTGGTAAAATTCTTGTCTTCTCTGTAGGAGACTTTAATTTGAATCCAGGTTGATGTGCCTCAATCACACCCATCAGCAGTTGGTGCACTTTTCAGAGTAAGTTAGACAGGAAGAAACACCTGCAATCTACTTCTGAAAATCAGGATGCAAAAATACTGT